AGTGGAGGGTATCTAACTCAGTCACTTTCTACCACCCCCCATAGGCATCCTATGCCTGCCACCTATGCACGAACCTTATTTGAATACTCCAAGTCCAAATCAGCACATTCCACGCATTTCTTGCCACCTAATGATGTTTCCATCCTGACAGCTATATTTGGACAATATTTGAAAGTCTAAGCCACAGGAAACAGGAGCTATGGTTTCCAGACAAACCCTATTATGTTCCTTGACTCTATCTATACCAGATAGCATACTGTTCTCACACTGCCGCTTGTACCGAACTGGCAGGGCCCAGGTCTAAATTAACGATTTCCCCGCACATCCGGCCCTTCGTAAACTGAGTCAAGTCGTGAAGCTTACCATCAACACCCCCATACTGCCACAAGTACTCTTGCAAAATTCAAAGGAGCAGTTCTAAATCAACAGTTTTCAGTTTACAATCCCAAAAACCTACCGCCTGCCGATCCTGCCGCCTATACCCTTACCAAATGTGATCTCTATTGGTCTACTGGAAAAGGAGAGAAGGAAAAGGAGAAAATCTCGGTTCACATCCGCATGCACCAATCTGTCAGTCCATCCTTTCCAAGATACTGGCTTGTCACCAACGCATGAGCTGCGAAACCAATCCCAGTTTGACATTCGCCCGAGCCAAAGAACCCTTCTATCCCTCTTGGGTCGGTTAATTGGTACTAGATTGTCTGAAAGGCCAAAAGCTTATATATCGGCGAGCCACCTTAAATTATTGTGTAGGCCACATACGCCATTACGATTCACATTTCAAAAATGCGAGCGTGCATCTCAGAAGCGGTATTGTTTGAGGCCAAGAAGTTTTATACTTTTCCTTGTGTGTTACAACGGGATGCTCGAACCCATGAGATAGATATGGTTGAAAATGACAGGGGAAAAGACCCGACGAATTCTGCAGGATATTGTTGCAAGAAACTTGAAAACAATGAGCTATGTGACAAATGTCCCAGTCACGATCGAAAGATTTCCCAGTCACAATCGGGAGATTCGATAGTTCTTCAGCGCTTCATACGTCACAAGATTGCATGCTCTTCCTAAACTGCTCATAACGTTAGGGAGCCGTCAGCCGTTTATCCGTTAAAGACCACATGTCAAATCAGAAATATAGGAATAAAAAATTATTAGATCGATTTTAATCGACACTATTAAAAAAAGAAATTAGCCCAGAAGTTTTTAACATTTAAGCCTTCCAACTTTGCGTGTCAAGTGAAGCACTCAGCTCTGGAGCTCCGCCATAAGGGACGTGGTAATTCCGAGTAGCAAAACAAAGAGTAGGTGATTGTTCCCATGGTCTGTTGCATTGGAGTAGTCGTAGTAGTCGGGAGTGAAGAGCAATTTAACATTAGAAGAGCTCAAAAGGTAAATTGCATATTTCTAATTTGCATAAATTTTCACCCTTCGATACACTCACGTAATCATCTCCATTTTATATGAGCTGCTGTTTAGTCAGACAAATTTTTCCTCCTTAACGGAGAGACAGATAGTGGATGAGTTGAGGGAGGCTCCTCTCACGATGCCGTTTTCTAAAGGCTCTGTGATACTCTTCGACTATTTCCTAAACGATTCCGAGGAAAGAAAACGTCCCAACCTACACATATTTATAGAGGTCCCGTGAGCGAGCAAAAACTGATCCATGATCGAACTCTGAATAGGCTATGCTAGCGATGACTGCCTTTATCAGAATGGCATCACATTGAGCGTCAACTTCGTGATCAGAAAGACCAGCAGGGATGGGATCTCGGTCATACTCCTGATCATGAAAATGGTTTCGAGCAAGAAATAGAGTCGCACTCAAGGTTTCGTTGAAGTTAAATGGATACCGAGTGCTTTCTGTTGCCACTGAGTTTTTCTTTCCAGAAAAACGCTTGGTCTAGAAAGTTGACTGTAGTCATCATCTCCTTTTCTAGTTCTTCGAGAAAATGAATTTCAGAAATAGCCTTAGCAATTGACTCTATTTCATATCCCTTTTCGAGCTTATAGCACTTGTTTCATCTGTTCAAGGCTCTTCAAAAAGGTAATTTTGCCAGCACCAGCAAAACACTCATCTTTAACACAGAAATGTCATGTGTGCACCGCTCTCAATGGATATTCGCTAACCACCACCGGACAAGTTCGCCTCACTGGCTCACCGCAATCGTCAGCACGCTCCTGAGGAGGACTGTATTTGTGCTGTATATCGAAAAGTGCTTGTTGAGACTCCTGTCCGAGCTTTTCGGAAGAAGCCTGATCATCGCTGTCGCCCTAGTAAATTTCCGACGCTATGAGAAAAACAGACAGTAACCGCCCGGTAAAACGGTCATCTTAAAATCGCATGACGTGTTCCAACCTACCTGGTCTTCAATCCCTTGCACGGCATCTCTGAATTTCTCTTGTAGACGAAGTTCAGAACTCCGAATTCCACAATGCATTTTTTGTGTCGGGGGATCTCGAGTATCGTACTCTCCTCAGCGCGTCGAAAGACGCTGGGTGAGCACTCACCCTGCTTTCGTAGCATTCAACCCTACACTTGTACGTTTGAGGCCCAGTTCACGATAATTTTGGGGTATCCGGATTCTGACGATAAGTGTTGGGTACGGCTTACAGTAGTACAAAGGAAAAGCAGAAAACGCAATGAACGATGAACAAAAAGAAATACAAAACCTAAAAAAAGAAGAGAAAAGGGGGTTGGACGAGGTACACGGCGAAAAAACGGGAATTTTTGGGCGGGTAGACGAATGCGACGTAATGTCTGCAATTGCACACAACACGCTCAAACAGTTGATTTTGGCTTCTTCGTTAATATTATTCATGCTACTGTTGATATTAAGCTCGATTATTGTGCCTGATACTTTTGACGACGACTGAGAATAATTAATTAGAACAGAATAGAGCAGAATATTAGTCGAGTAGTAGGAATACAGCCGAATACTATTACCAGTAGGAGGTGTCGATTAGCTTATTGATTTTTCACTAATGTTGCTCCAATGCGAAACTGGTGAAGGGCAATCAGATTTCGTAGTTAGCCTAGCGAGGGGCGGAGGCTGACCGTGCTTCACTCTCCGGCCCCCTATTGTGCCCTATCCAGGACGTTTTTCGACTTCATTCCGGCTCATGTGGTATAAGAGGGGGCCCCGAATTCACACCATGTGCAAATCTCCGAAACCATTTTTATCGTGAACCAAGCCTTTAAAGCAGATAGGAACGCAGTGTAGAAAAGGAAGCGCGAAACATGATGTTCTTTGTTTCTTCGCCGTTCCCTCGATATTCTAGAGTGCCCCATACGATGCGTTTCCTTCTGCTCATCTCCATAGCTATGTAAACCATTCATCATGTTGACTTCTTGACCCAGATACGAGTAGCGAGAGCTTTCAGAGATATTCGCTCCGTTTAGAGTAAAGGGAGCTTCAGCTGCGCATTCGTTTCTTATGAGCATTGTCCTATTTAGGAGTGGTCTTAAGCCGATTTTTTCACAGACGCTGTCTGGTGTTATTCAGTGTTATGAGGCCGATGTCGTCTGCAGAGCGGAGACGATCGGTTGGCCTTCACTCCCATACCATCATAATTCATGATGTTCAAGAGAGCGGCACTGAAATGTTTGGGAAATGTGAAATGTCCTTATAAGGTACTACCAAACTCCCCTCTTCGCGGCAATGACTTCCTTATAAAGTGGCGGAATCCTAATCCTGAAGTTGTCTCAAAGCTCACAAACCATCCTTATGTATGGAGTAAGAACACACTGTTCGCAGAGGACTTTAACTACCGCTTCTGTCTTGACGGTGTCAAATGCCTTCTTCAAATAGGAGAGATGTAACCGCACCCTGTAATATCGCGATACTACAATGTTTCTTTTACTGTTGAGGATGACCCGTGTTCAGCGGTAGTTGCCAGTACTGTCGGAGTTTCCATTTCATACAGCAACACGGTCCTGTCAATGTCCCGTGCTGGCGCGTCGCATTCCGACAGGTACAGCGTGTGGAGCCTAACCAACATTCTGAACACAACTGGTGAACGACTCTTTTGATGCTCTGGCTCGATCCTATCGGGATCAGGCGTTGTATCACAACTCTTCATCACAATTTGTAGAAACCGTAGATGACCTTTTCAAGGCCCTTCAAAATGCAGTAACTGTTCCGTCAGGACGAAGAAGGGAAGTCATCTTGGTCTTGCAGTTGTCGATGCTCGGGCATTCTTTGCGAGTGCTCCTCCCGGCCTAGGCGGCTTCGGCCAAATCAGCTTGAGAGAGTTCATTGAGAGACTTCTCGGCTATTTGTAGACGTCTGCTTTTCTAGCAGTATCGAGATGGCAAAAGAAGGATAGTAGAATAAATCACGGGCTCCTTGTTTCTGATCCTGCAGAGTGACCCAGCCAGAACCTCGCATTTGAGTGACTGGGAAGTCCCCGGAAAGCCATTCCAGGCCGTCAAAAATGACTACTAAGCCTCTCGTCCATTTGGAATAGAAACGGCAAGCTATGAAGAGTCTACCGAGCCTCAGAACCTAGCAAGCTACTCGTAAGTACTCCCTTGCCAAGAATAATACAACCATCAGTGTGAGTCACTACTGTGGTCCACGGACAGGTCAGTCATACCTTTTTCCACAGCTGGGGGGCTGCGAGCCGAAAAAGTCGGCGGACGCCCAACTCAAGTCATCAGACTTTGTGAAAGTTCTCTTAAATATGAAAGCCTATAGGGGCGGAACAAGTGATTATCAGAGGGGACCTGCCAGGAGTTTATGGAGCATGGGGTAGAGTCTCCCAGCCTGGCTTCTCAATTTCGTGGTGGATATCTTTACTTACAAGGGATCGGGCATTGTCATGAAGGAGAATCACTGAAGTCCGTCTCGATCGTTTTTTTTTCGAATAGTTTCCGCGACCTTCCGAATCAGAGCGACCTAAACGAAAGCACTGACCATGTACCCTGCAGTAACATTCCGCATTTGGTGTAGCATGCCCTTCGAGTACCAGAAGCGTCATAGAGGAGCCTTCTTGGAGTGCATTCCTGACTTGACTCGCATAGGAAGCTCATCTTCTTTAGGCAGCCGGACATCACAGTGGAGTTGAAGTGATAGAGGATCCTAGTTCCTCACTAGGTTCCTCAAAAGCCCCTGTGATTGCGAGCAAGTGATGCATTCTTATCTGAATGTACCGCGCACAAATCGCCAAGGTATGTAGAATCGAGTCAACGTTTTTCAGTAGCCGCTGGCCTGGATGTGTCTGTGGGGGAGGGGTTTTCACACGAGCCTCGTGGCAAGGTTTCGATGGTAGTCTCGCTACTTTAACTCTAAAGGGCGGTGATTCTTGGACAAGATGATAGCCTAACGGTAGTCTTCTGAAATCGACATCGTGTTAAACCCAATGAAGTGTATGCGCCCTATTTAAACCTTTTGCGGAGGAGCTTCTGTAAATATTCTACAACTATCATGGGATCCATCATGGATATCGATCGAAAGTTAAAAATTCCAGGCTTTGAAAGAAACATCCTATCAAGAGTTCCATTCTCAGTTTTCATGAAACATGGGCATGTTACTTTATAAGCCTTGCCGTACAGTATGACGTTCCCACAGTGGGCTTCGAGATAAGCGCGTAATTCCTATCCAGCGGCCGTCACTGGTGCCTCATCGGTCCCCTGAGTGGGGCGACAATGCTGGTGGAACCGTAGATGGTTGGTTTTTTCGCTGGGATGTTATAGTGCTCGAGTCTTCAAGAACTGTTGCAACTGGCCCAGCACGTTCGGGCGGTTGCTCGTGTAAACCACAGATCAGAAGCTCCGGACTACTTTCAAGTTTCGAATTCGACGAGTAATTTGAAATTTCGACCTTATTAAGCGGTACTATCAGAACAAACCTGTACGGCAAAGCATTGTACAACATTACCTATCGAGACTTCCGATGAATCCGATATAAATGGGCCTCTCCCTTTGGTACCTGATACAACGCGTTGGTTATGACCACTCGGGAGAGGCTGCTAGAATTTCAGGGTCCTAACAGAAAAGGACGAGTACGAAGGTGACGATCTGTGCATTTAATGCACGACGGTTGCTTCGGAAGCGTGTATAGAAGACCTGATGATTCAAGCCAGAAAGAACAAGTACGACGTCACGGGACTGGCTGGGACGAGAAGCATCGCCCATTAGCATCAGCGGTATCGAGCAAGATTCAGTTGTAAACAAGGGGCAAGCGCCGCCCCGGTCGCTCGCTCGCTCGCGGGCCGAATCGCGGACTATGAAAGCAGCCCTTGTCTACTTCAACCGGATGATTGAAAAGATGTGGCTCAGGCCTGGCTTCGGCAGTATTGGTTGCCTACGCACCAACATCAAGTCTGAAGAGGAAAAACAGAAAATTTTCTATATGGATCTTGAAAAGCTCTACAGAAAAGACCAAGCTTCTTCGCCGTTGACTTCAAAGCCAAGATTCACCTATAGAAAAGCGGCCGAAGAGCTTAATCCAGACTTTTGCTGAACGGAATAGATTGAGCTAGACCTTCAAAGAGTCTTTCACTATTCATTTTCAAATTTCTGAGCGTATATTTTCTTTGAAAAATTGGTGAAAATGTAGTTGGGGGGGGGCCACCTATCACAATGTCGGTATATCAAGAAATGAACTCAATGAAACGCGGTATATCGTGTCATATCACGGACATGCCAGTTTTCAAATAAGGGCTCTCGTAGAGATTAGGCACCGCGGTGGGCAAGTTTTCTTTCTTTTTTTCTTTTTTTTTGCAGGAGGTAATCATCCCAGCCACCCAGCTGCTCCTCCCCTACCTAGGCTTATTTGGGAAACTAAATTTCCTTAGCGGAAACCGCATAAAAGAGTTAAGCTATCATCATCATCCTCTACGCATCCGATACAGTGCTGATATAACAAGGGCTAACACGTTAGGCTGAGTTCATTTCTTGATATACTGACCTTCGGATGAGTGGCCCCCCCAACTACATTTTCACCGAAAAATATATTAGATTTCTCTAACTTGGCTTTAGGTTTTTGCCCCCATAACAATAAAGATTTTTGGGAGCACTCAGGGCCATCATTATCTCGAAATTTCCTCCACAAACCAAACAGTATAGAAGTGAACTGCTTAAAATTTCCCCAATATTCTGTCGCTGAACAAACTCGCAGCTGGCTCATCAGGGACTTTCATTGAACCTGTAGTGATTTCAGCATCTGATCACTTTCTTAATTTCCTTTTCATTGCATTCAGAAGTATTAGGGCGGAGGGGCTGTAGTAAGTGGCGCGCCATCAACGCGGAGTTATGGGATTCGAACTTCAGGTCGCCTGCGCCAAATCTTCCATCTCTTCATGGTTCTACTAACGCAGCTCTATCTCAGATTACTAGTTTTGTTCACGATCGGCCCACTGTCATCACCTAATGTCGAAAAGTCAGTTTGGGTTATCCCAGCCATGATAGCTGTACGTACTCGATCTACACTTGTTCGTAGCCTTGTATCCAAGGAAAAATGTATGTCAACACTGAACCCATCAGGAAAAATGGATGAAACAAGTAGAGAAGCAGCACATTTATTGGCGAGCAAATAAATTTGTACATATAAATTTGATAAATTAGCACGAAACGAGGTGATGCTGATGTCATAGATTCTGCAAATTGAACAACGGATCATACGTCATTGGTGGAGGAAAATAGGCAGCTGCACTACCGTAACCGAAAGCTTGCATATCAGGAAATGGTGTCTCGATACTTAGATTTGGCTTCGAATCACAACCGCTCGACGCGTCATCGCTTTCGGATTTTGCGGAGTTCCTAAAAAAATCTGGTTGAGATACAACACCACCTCCCTCTCAACGCTGTTCAATAACATGGAAGAATTTCCTAAAATAAGAGAGAGAAATCCATCGCTGAAGCGTGGTCTTGAAGGCGAGCCTATGAAGTCACGGAAGTTTGTGAAAGAATAAAGATCCTCAAAGACTATTTCATATGAAATAACTGATGTATTTTGATTTTTTGCCAGGAACAAGTGTTATTACTGAGGTCACGGTGATTTACGGCTGCGAATGGGGCCCGAAGGCAGGAATGAAAAGCAGCTCTGCTCAGCGGAAAGAAGGATGTGGTGCTGGGTCTAGAGATCGGTGTGACTAAACTGGATCAGAAATGAAGACGTAAGGACAATCATGCAAACACTCCCTGTCCAACATAGGATGAGAGCAGCTTTTAGACAATAAAGAGATAATACTCTTGCTGAGAAAGCCACAGAGTTATTCGCTGAGAAAGGCGATAGAAAAAACGTCTCACAGCTTGAGCCCCTACCTGTTACCAGAGGAGGAGATCTGGAAAAGGTGCGTGAAGCCAGTTTTGCTATTACTCCAATGTCTTAATCTCAGCTCAATTTGGCATAGTATAGTGGTTTGATGTACCACTCAAAACGCAACCAGCGAAGGAGATGAATGCCGGGAAAGTCTACCTTACCCTTTACCACTCTGGCTACATACATACAATGACGTAAAGAAAAAGCGGTCAAAGGCATGGTAATAGGCGAATGAGTGACTGCCGGTATCGAGAGACCACGCGACTTTTCGAGCTCGTTAGCACCCCATTCGAGCGCCTATTTATGAGTTACGATAGGAACCTCATTTAGATTGGTCTCAGAACCGTTCCCCTGGTTATACTGCCTTGATTGAAGCCTCTAACCTCACTTCATGCAATCTATGTATATCGAACCGTGACTGAAGTATGTTCTGTCACAGAGTTGCAGAGACGCCTACGAGCAAGTACATTCGAATAGTCTCCTTCAAAAATCGCTATTATTGGTATAGCGATTCCTGTCAGCTCAGATTCATTCACATCTGGCCGTTGGCAAGACTGGGTTTATTCAGTACGTTCTTATGAAAAAGGCTGAGAAAGTCGAGGACAGGCAAATCAATAAAAAAGACAAAACCCAAGTTCGCTTCCAGTTTAACATTTAAAAACACCCTTACACGGTTTTTTGTACGAGAACAATCCCTACTTTACACTACTCTACAAGTCCAAAGCGGTCAAAAGAAGGGGCGGCTGTTGTGGAGAACATCCGTTAGGTTGTTTCTTTGTTCACGCTAGATACGGTACATATAGAACCCACGGTCAGAGCAAACTAAAGACGATGAACAATGGGGTGAAGCATGTTGTCTTAAGGAGGCTCTTGACAGGTGTCGCGATCTTGGTGGATGCCAGCTCAATCGGATCAGAACTGCAGGCGTGAGAGATTTTCTAGATCGGCTTTGAGCTTTGACTTTTGACGCCAACTACCAAGTGTCACTGGCTCTAATCCTTTCCATTTCGACACATCGGCATCATTTTCATGATCGAGCACAAATACTCACAAGAGGGTGCAAGCACTACAAGGTTAATACTGGTATATGGGACAGATAAGGGCGGAGGTGGTGTGGTGGCAAGTGGCGTATTATCACACACGCATGGTCACCGGTTCGAAGATCGATATCAACCTAGGCCAACCAAGCATGCCAACCCTCCGGGGTCGGTTAGTTGGTACCAGACTCTTCTGGGAGGATAAAAGCACTGACTTGAACATCGGCTGGCCACTGCAGGCCATTGTATAGGCCACATACGCATTCATTTCGTCACTACGATTCTGAATGGAAGTCGAATGCGGGGCGTATCCCTAGATGGGATTGATCAGCGTCAAAAGACTTTATCTTTTATCCTTTAGATTATGACTACCAGTTTACAGAAAGCTTTTTACCCCATAACACAACCTCGGAAAAGACTTCCTTCGAGCTACCAACGGGAAGCCAGCGATTGTTTGTCAGACACCTGACAAACTTTCGCCGTCATAATTATCGATCGATGGCGTGCGTCATAGTGAAGGGGTTACGGTAACGGCGATAAATGCGAATGCAAAGGAATGCTCAGAGATCAGAAAAACGTTAAGCGGCTCTAAATACGTCGAGCAAAGGAGTTCGACGTCATTGTGCTGCCCAAAGAAGGAGCTCAGTTAGCTTATTTGATCAGTTTGAAAAACTGTAATGGTGCAGTTGCAGAAAAGATCACGACAAATCTTTAGCGAAATAATAGAAATGGGAAAATTCTGCTTGTCAAAAACCTTTTCCGGGAATAATATTCTCTTTACTGGAATAATAACTTTTTCGAATTGTTTCAGAACAGTTGATAACCCATCAAAGATGAAGGTATCTAAATTGGTGGCAGTTCATGAAAAGTAGTGGTCCCACAACGTCCAAGGCGAGTCAGAATATTCAGCAACGTACAATACAGTAACATATCCAGTAAACTTGACTGGCTGTCCCAGTCTATCAACCTGTGGAGCCTGAGCTGTTCGGGTAAGCACATTAATTTGGTATGCACAGACATGGGAGCCCATGGAGTTTAAACGGCCCTTGCATCCTGTTCTTAAAAAAAATTCCCAGGTAAATTTTTAATTACTGATGGAAAAATCACTTTGATTATTGGTTTGCTCTCATTTGGTCACCTAATTCTCGGCTTACCAGACAAAGGTAAATCGTAAAGTTCAGCAGGAATTCACAAGAGTGAAAAATCTCGAAGAAAATGGAAGCTCTGTGTGTTCAAATCATGAATCCTTCGTTTGCTGTGTGTGTGCTTCACCCTAGGCAAGGCTATAATCACCCATGTAATTATCGCTTTGACTAACTTGAAGTACACAAAACTGGAGTAATACAACCCTATGCACTAATTTCTTTTACAGAAATTTTTCAAAAACGACGGGGAGATATGCATGAGATACGCGGTTTTAGTTGGACTCAATAAGAATTCCGGCTGAGGAAGTGAGACCCAGGCGAAAGTGGGCTCCCTGACCAGGAATTTTGTGGATGGAACCAAGAAAATTTGAGCAAATCGAGTTTTCTTGGTTCCTCAACTTGAGTCAACTCAACGGTCATCTCCTGCACCGACTGTGCAAACTGTTTTCCCATTTACGAGTAAGTGACTTAGCGCGTCAATGATCTGTATACTAATCCAAACAGAACCCTGGGCTCGATTACATCATAGCATAGGCACTTAAGCATCAACCTTCTCATACCAAATGCAAACAGCCGTCGACCTCCCAATCCACCTGTAATGATGGCTGGTGCTATCATGAAACTTCAATGTCACTCACTTTTCCAATGTGCCAGCTGCTCGTTCACGTTGTCGCTTATTCTTGAACCAATTGGAAACCTGAGTAACGGTGAGTTCGGTCTGAGCTGCCAGTCGTTTCTTGTCCTCAACAGACGGATAAGCCTGTTTCTTGTATGCATCGCGAAGGACATTGCGCGATTTTGACTGGAACAGAGATATGGAATCGATCAATAAAGCGATTGGAGGGATACGGTAGATAACTGTAGGTAACCTTGAAACAGTAGTTCGTTTCTTCTCCATCCCAAATGGTAGCTGGAAATGGATTTTTCTTCCGAATACGGTATTTACAGACGGCACCCAGTTCGCGCTCTTTCGTCTTCTCAGCCTGTATGACCAGATATTTTGAGCGATAAACAAGTTCAACAACAAAACTATTTCGAGCTAAACAGCTCTGTTCACTTGTAGGAGCACATCTGATAAGGGAACTGTAATTATGTAACAATAAGTTTGTTTCTATTATGCTTATGGTGATTTTCCAGTGATTTCGGATCATTCAAATCATGCCCTTGACCAGATAGTACTCCCTACTACAAAAATCCTCCCATTTGTCAAATCGCAGCTATGAATATTATGCTATCAGAATTGCTCTAAGAAACCTCGATCGATGTTCACGGAATCGAGCGGTTATATCGATCCCAATGAGGAACGAGTACGACAAAGGCGAGCGGGAAAATTTTCCGAGGAAACGTTCATCGAAAGCGCTAATTTCAGCTTCATATTACTTGAACCCAAGTGGCGCAATCCAATTCAATTATACAAGTGCTCATTTACTATCATACTTCAAAGGATGAAAGAGAACCTTCGATCCCGTCACTGGGATGAGTCCCCGTATTCGACTCAGAATCGTAGTGGCACTTCAAATAGAAATGTGTCCTGTACATTAACTTGAGTGTCGATGTATAAGTCATCGCTTTTATCTTCCAACACGAGCCTGGCACCGTTTGACCGACCCCGGAAGGATTGAGAATTTCATCCCCGGCTGTGCCGCTGCGCCACTCGGCACTCCTACCTTCCCCCTAATGGAAATTTAAAAAAAAATTGGGTCAACAAAGGTGTTCATCTAACAACTCGTAATAATCATGCCAGGTACCCTTTACTCTGCGAAGGCTGGAATGGGGTGCTCAGTGATGTGAAATTACAAGATATAGGTGATCTTAGTGGAATACTTCCTCTGAAGCACTAAACGAAGCACTTCGAGAACTGTGGGAGCCTGAATCCAAGTAAGCACACAAGAAAAAGTGGTTTTTTTATGCCCACTTTGCTTAATATTCGGGCCAAATAGCTCATTCATGGTGCATGCGGTCTTCAGATCTTTTTTTCCTTCCTGGTATCCGTCTAATCCAGCAAAACCCTTTGAGACAGTAATTTATTTCTTTACTAAAAACGTTGAAGTGATTTGGGAGCTGTTTGTCCCTTTTAGGAAGTGGAGTGGTGCTTCACGTGTTTTAAAGAAAGGGTTCAAAAATAAAAATAAAAATTGTAGTGCTTTGGTTTTGCCCTTTTACCAGATATCACATAAATGATTGTTAATTAAAAGTTGTGAAAAAAATGCCCATTTTAGTACTAACCCCTGCATCTGAACAAAATATGTAACCTCTCACAAAAGGGTTATAAGATGGCCCGCAACACCACTATAAGAAGCNAAGCGAAAAAAAGTAATCTCGAAAACTTTTTTGCGGCTCTCCCTTCAGCAGAAATAATGAGAGCTTCAGGGTTCTCGAATTACCAGTAGCTGCAAATTAAGCAGGAGCTTGAACATATACTCTTCTGCAGAGGTTCATGACTATGACTAAAAGCTGGGGCAGAGCCTCACGAGACTTCGATCCTCTATCTTTAGATATTGAAGGAAAAACTCGTTGCAAAAGTAGCAGCTATGATAGTTCGGATATCTCGTCTAGAGGTACCTAAACCTTACTTCTCAGAAACCCGGTGCAATTGCTGTTCGGGTGGGTGAAAACAGTACTGTGTAGATCTGCCGGAACCCGCAAACATTGCCTTGGACCGATGAGCATTCAATGAGGGAACGAGCTGTTCCGAAGCTGATCATTGTCGAGTCGGTTATGCTCATCTACAAAATTGAATGAGCGGGTAAAGATAGGCACTGCAAGGAGGAGTGCTGGTTTTTATGTTTGTTTGCATCCAATTTTGCAAATACAAATAAATTTCGCCCAATGTTGCGCAATGTTTGCTTACGACGATGTGCTCCTACAGGATTACGGTAGTTTTGAAAAATCAACAACAACCAGCAAATCTTCTTACTTCGGTGTAATGAGCACGTAGCCATAAATCCTGTAGTACGGGATGATTATGTGGACTGAACTTGTGTGTTTCTAGCAATCTATAAGAAGAATCATTCAATCATATGAATGTGACGGTATTACTTGTTACGTCATTACTGTATCTATCGATTGATTTACCGATAAAGTTGCTTCCATTGTTGTTGACTGAAAAGCACTAGGGCATGAGCTTTGAGGGCACTTTCGAGGCATTTCAGGTGATCCGGCAGAGTCCAAAGGAAGTGCGTCTGAAAGTTCAGTCACATGATTATTTTGATTTTGAAGCTTTACATCAGTTTTGAAAGTCCATGGCTCCGGCTGTCAATCACGTCAGGCGTTTCAGTCAATTAACATTCCCGTGGAGTCTTTCCCGCCGGTCCGCGTTCTGATTCGTTAATTCCCACATGGGCGGGGCCAAAGATACGGTGGATTGTAAGTGTTGCTTTCTCAAGGGGCATTACCACCATCCAAAATAGAATCTCACGAAAATGAATGGAATGTATTACAAAGTACTGAGAAAAAGGTGAACTCTGTCCGGTATAAGAGAGTACACTGAGTGCTTGCACCAAGCTGTATGTTGTGGCCTTGAGTAGGTTCCCGCTGAGGGTGAAGTCCCTGATCCTGAATCAGCAAGATGAAAGGGTCGAATTCACGTGAAAATATCAAAATACTTTGGGATTACATCTTCTACAATTACCCTCTCACTCAAATCACTTCAGACACTGAGCAATCTTTTCAAAAACCCCAATACCTTTTGAGAGATGTTATTCTAAATTTTGTGGACTGATGAGAGTCATCTCAAGAATATTCGTTGCCAGAGAATCTCAACTTTCAATCAACACATGGGTACATGAAACAGCGAGGAGGTTTCCACTTTAATATGTCGTTGCTGCGATCATTGCTGATTTCTTGAAAAGCGCCTTGGAAATTTCAGTTTAGGCTCAGTGGGTTCCGCTCGATCATAGAAAGATTCGGCAAAAGTTAATAAAGCTTGGAAGTGATCGATTTCGACAAGGGTTTTCGAAGTTTCCTTCTTTTTTCCAGTATTTTATGAAGAATACCCATGAACAGAAAATAGTTCCAAATCTCTAATGTTTTTGAGGTAAATCAGAGAGTTTAGGTGAATCTGGAGCCTACCGCGATCATTTCCTTCCAATGAGAAGAGAGTCTAGCGCACTTATTAACGTTTTTTCTCCCGTATACGTCGGGGAGACGAATCACCACGAAACAGTCGGGCCCTATGAAGGACTACTTGGACAACTTGGTCATGGGTTAGCATATTACATACCTACAGCTGCCAAACTATTACAACGTCAATACCACCTTCGAATAGGAAACAAGAACTACTAAGAACTGATAGGGATGGCTTGATAAACGGAATATGAGGTAGATAGGGGCTTCCTTGGATTCAGCCCCACGAAAAATTTGAGGATAGGTTTATCTCAAAGTGTTCAAGAAAGAGAATGAACCGAACGGAGTGACCATACAAAGAAAGGAGCAGAGAAAATGTTAAGATGGAGGAGAAGAAAGATAAGAGAGGAGTAAGTGCATTAAAGAGAGAAGCTCAAAAATACGATGAGGAAGAAAATTAAAACCAAAAAAACTGGGATTTGAAGGAGAATTGGAAACCGCAGTGACGTCTTGAAAAGGTTCCGGGAGGAACATCACTGAGGCAAGGTCGGTACATGTGCAGGTTATCGAAAGCAAATCGTGGCGGCCAAATAAGAAGAGGGAGTACGGAAGAGGAGGAATAGAAAGAGTAGTTCGGGCAGGTATGAATGACAACAGTGGCAACAAGGATTATATGGGGTAAGGACTGTAAGAGAGGGCAGCAAGAGGGCCGAAGAAGAGCGTGTTGCGTCAAGAAGGCAGCGCTCATGAAGGCCATACAACTGTCTTCCTAGAATTCTTTTGATATCAAAATGATTTTGCAAACAGACGTCTGAATTATAATGGGGTTATACTTGCATATAGCAGGATAGAGATTTTATTCCCACGTCATTAGTAGAGAAGCAATGGTATGAATTCTTGTACCCACCCCTACACTAGCCAAGTATCCCATCTCATTCATGACTCAGGGAGAAATTAAAAGTTCAGGACTCTGGTAGAGGTTTTCCTTTTTCCTGGAACTTTTTCGAGAATGTTCCTCGACAAACTTTGGTCCTAGCAAACGTCTCTTTTTCAGGCTGCTTTAACATCGAGCTCTTAACTCACGACATGTCGTGAACAATTGCTCGTACATCACGGCTGACGTTCAAGTATACTGTAATAATAAGCAAGGTGACAGCCGTCTGTCATGTTTGTCACTCAGTTTCACTGACAGATGAGCAATGATGAGCGATATTGATTGATGATAATACCAAACCACTTCAGTCACTCAGAAATGATGGACTAGTGAAAATGAGATCGAAAAAAATAGAAGAACCAATCAAACGGTACCAGTTGCTCTGTCCGTCCGGTCTGTAGGCCTTCGTTGAACAGCGACTCGCAGATACAAGACACCTCTTGCTCAGAATACGAAGTGGTGGCGCTGAAAAAGTACGAATTCTAGCGGCTGGAGAAGAACTGGCACATCACAAGTGAGGTCTCCAACACACTGATTGAAAAGTGGTGCTACAATGGTGGTGTTGAAGCACTTGAAATCCGCGACACCCACATATACACAGACAGACAAGCGGATTCAAGAGACTTGGACTACGGGGTAGCTGACTAGAGACGGGGAAAGGGGATCACGGGGCGTAACGGTAACCTGATCCATAAGTTGCGAATAGAGTCGAAGTTGAAAGCGATATTCCTTACGGGATTGTGTGAATTCGAGCTGTGGCGCCGGCGGCCGGTGTCGCGTACGCTTGCATCGTCAGTGAGCGCAAAGGCTCAGGTTACGCCCTCCCCTCCATCTCCTCCCTACTGCTCGCCCAACGCTCACCCGCAGCTTGCCCACCAACGAACGGCTAGATGAGCAAAGGCAACTGTCCACAACATTTCAGGGTCAAAGTGAACTTGCTAAATGTGTGATGGGACCTCACTAATTGAAGTTACCATGAAGATTGAGAGCTCTCGACGGAGTGGCAGAATCCCGGGAAAAACTAGCCGCGCCGAAATTGAAACCGCAAAGTGTCCAGTTACAAGACGATTTTTGAATGAGAAGGGATTGATTTCAGGTCACAGATGAGGTGTCTCGACTAGACAAGCTATCGAGTGGATCAGCTTGAGATTAGGAAAGTGCGTCCTAGGTGAAAGGTACCTAGGGGAAGAACAGCCGAATACTTTTTAGTTGACGTTCAAAAAAAAAAACTTTCACGAAATGGGTTTCAAGAATCCCGAGTATCAGACAGGATTCGGAGTGGTGCAACTGTTTACTGAGCAGAGTAGTGATGTCAAAACGAAATGATCGAAAGAACTGAGCAGCTCCTGATGCAAGAACGGTTAGATTATTCTCGAAGCTTCTTTTTGACTAGTAGTTACCGTGGAGTATTTTCGTACCTGGTTAAGCCAAAATGAAACGTAAGAAGAAGTTTAAGTTGAAATGTTGGGAAGACAGTTATGAGCTTGGCTACCTTGAACAGGTTGTTTGTCTATTTATGAGCAGCCACGTATTTCAATTTTTTGCCTTACACCATCTACGATCACAATCAGGGGAGCTATCAATTTCCTGAATTGTAGCTACCGTAATCTCATGTACGTTTAGTAGCCACTTTGGTTAGCTAACTAAGTGACCTCGGTTGAGCTCGAGACAGCTGGTAACGCAATATAGAGACTACATGCATCCACTAGTGCAAACATAAAGCAGATGTAAGTCAGATGGACTGGATCAGGTAACGGCCCTAAACACATCGAATGCTGCAAGCAGCAATAAGGTCAGGGTATACATGCGAGAGAGGTTTTGCCTATCATGAATATGGTTATAGGAGTCCAGAAAGATCAGCTTGTATACCACTCAATCAGCTTATACCATAGCAAGACAATAATTGAGCAGGTTCCACCAAATTACTCACCCAGAAGGATAACCTGAGAGTTCCTTGCCTTATGGGTATGGTCCAAGATTTCCCGAAGACCATATTCTCAACGATTTCGGAGCCGGCGAGGGTTTGTATGGTGATTACACAAATCCATGTAATCGTTGTCATCGAGATAGAGATCAGGTCCCACATTCACAAATCATTAGCTCTTCCCCCATCACTAGTGAAAAGCGTACAACGAAGGATTCAGAAGCAAAAAATTTTAAATTTTTCGGACCTTCTGGAAAAATTGAGGAGAATCTAAAAATTTCGTAGCGATTAGCTGATAGATTGAAAAAAGAGGAATACTGTAGATTGGAGTACGGTTAAACTTGCATCCTTCACCTTCTTGAACACTATATTTTTGAATAATTATTTCTGAAACCAAATGGAACTTTTCGGATCAATTTTCCTGTTCATGTAGTAGCGGTAGCCTAATATTTTCTTACAGCAGCTGTCAAGGTATGCGAATCTGCCAGTCTAAAACCTTTCACCTTGAAATATCAATATCTTGTGGTAGGCACTATCGGCAAACTGCTTTGGCCTCTGAGCTTCGAACAAATGTCTATCGTCGCACTTATAAAATGAAGAACTTTGAAAATTTCCTCTCAGAAGTAATTCTGTGGGAGTCACCGCCAGATATAAAGCATTCAGCAATAGACAGATCATAGTTTATACTATTAGCAATGACTGTCAAACAAATCTATTCGCACCTGTCCAGTGATTTCGTAAACACTTGCCTTTGTAGCAGATTATCGACTTGTTTCTCTTGCTTTGTTTTGAAATATTTTTTTCGGATAAGAAGCTTTTTTCGGGGAAAAAGCTCTACTCTAATACTTTTTAGGGCGGGAGAAAAAGCTCTGATTTGAAATAGAATCCTAGCTCGCTATACTATTCGGTCCGACTTCCGACTTTACAGTTTTGAAATTATATGTTGATCCCCAAATTGCGAGATACAGGAGGAATATTGAAGGCGGCCAGTGCTATCATTGTAATTCTACGTATTGCCCTTCTGTTTATGTATTTTCAAATAGTTGCTGTCCTTTTTTTTCGAAATGCAGCTCCAAGACTTTTTTCCGCATCTGCGCCTTCGAGCTGTGCTCCAGCAATGCCTGTTCCCTGGTATCCCTTTGATGAAAAAACTCTGCCGGACTCCCATGTAATCGAGGCTTTCAAAACCGTCGCAGACATTTCAATGTGAACTACGATTTTGCTATATTTACTCGTCGAATTCGATATAAATTCAGTCTTCTGATTTTGCTTCCCCTGGGCAAGTCCTCTCTCAAAAGTCTCGCGCAACTTCAATGTGAGCCAGAAATGATTTCTAGATTGACAAGTCACAAAAGCGATGCTGTGAAAGAAAGGATTCCATAGTTCCAAGCAGTCGAATACAAGTTTTCAGAATCGGAATCTTCGGCTTCGTGGGTTTTCGGAACCTTGAAAATAAGCTTCCCTCATGTGAGATCATTCACTAGAGTAATGTAATGAAATGGCATTCAAAATGGAGTGGAGTTTACCTCCTGTTTTTCGCCCCATTTACATTCCAAGGGAACCACCCAATGATTTTCATTCAACCAAAACATTGTCTTCACCTCGGGGGAAAGGGTACATTTGCGAGCAGCTGAGATGCGGACGGCTAAGTATTATGTTTCAGTGCCCCTACATTCAACAGTGTTCACCCATTCTTTTACTTAACTATGTCGATGACTGGGTAAAAGAGATCCAAACACGTGACCCAGTTAAACCATAAGTGCTCTTGCCCAGGAACAAAATGGATTGCTCCCTTTTTCCATTTTGATAAGCTATGCGCGTTCATAGCCGACGTTACTGCCCCAGTCGAAAAATTGTTCCTAAGGAAATCTACCAGTTTGGTACAGAATTTCGGAAGTTCCTACTCATGAAACCTGGTAATTTCGTGTGTGGGCTACGGGCATATCCCAAAAAAGTCGCAGCTGAGTTCCCTGAGTGAATCCTCTTTACAGTTTTATAGGAAAGTGCCAGTTACATTTGCCAAAAGAAGCAGCGCGAAATCTACTTTCACCGTTTGGAACCTCTTCCTATTCTCCTTCTTCTTTTGAATTCAGTGACCTGAAATCCACTCAAAGCATGCAAAGGCAGCTCCAACGTCTTTCCCACAGTGACCTGGGCTATAATTTCAGTTATAGCTTGTCATCTGGCAGCCGCTGTTGAGGAAAAACTGTGACTGGGCAGAGAGGCGCAGGCCGGCTACCGATCAGCGGAAACTACAAAAGCGCCCCCAGACCGCTATCCGGTGGTATTAATTTCAACCGACCATCCCGAGATGAGGGTGCGCGAACAGCTGGCTTAAAACAACCACTCAAAGGCATAGGCGATGATGGTCCCTGGGAGATATTCTGGCTTACTACTTGCCTGAAGCCAACCAAAGCAAAGATGGTTGTTGCTTTGACCGTGGGTTGTTTTCGTAGTGGGCTCTTCCCAGAGACCTGGTATACGGTACCCACACCAGGGATCGAATTTCGCCTATTGCGCAGCCAACACGGACAGCACCAAGCGCAATCGATTTCGAAGAGAGCACGAATGGACGAGGACGGCTACGTCTTGAAATTTTAGTTCATTAGGGCTAGAATGGAAATTTGTATGATTCTGGATCCCTCGCCTTAGGGGTCAATCTCATCAGGGCCTTTTAGAACCAGTCCCATCCGAAATTGCCCAGAAAGTCAAGATTTTGGGATCAGCCATATCTGGCGAATTAAGGTGTACCAGCAGCTATTACGTAAGTACTCGAGATGACATGAGAGCGACAAGATCTGGTGAGAACGATTCTTCGAAAGTCGTAGAGATAGGACTGTTCAGAAAAAGAAATTGTCATAGCCTTCGATCGATTACAAAATATTCTTCAACCTTGTCACCCGACCAACTTACCAGTGTAGACTAAGGCTTGAAAAGCCGTTTCCCAACTGTCTAATGAAATTGCACGGTCAATCAAAAAATGGCTCTTTTCGACACATTTTGCGTTCCAAAGAATCAATACGGCATGGATTCTCTGGATGCTAAAAAGAAAGCTGAAAGCTGTCAGTTTAGGATGATATCCGATTGAGAAAGGCAGTGCATGGAAAGTACACTACCGTGACCCACTCACGAAAACTAAGGAATTAATTTCCTTTTTTTCTGCTCTACCCCCTGCTCTTCCTGTTCTGTACCAATAACTTAGTCCCTTGAAAAACGACCACGAAAGGGCTGCCCTTCATGAACACCATAGGCGAATCTCACAAACCTATTGACTTCGAGACCTATTTACTTCCACTCATCATTTCTGAATTCTCCAATCTGATGGATTTACTGCTACATAAGCATTTTCTAGTAGACAGCAGTGTCATTCGAAGTGTTTGACGAGTACCATACAGCAGAATAGTTTTCGACCTCCTAGTGGCTGGTGCCCGTTCACCCTTGTAGTCGTTTAAGGGTCATTCTCATGCTCCAAATTGACTTCTACTTACTGCCTGCTGCGAGTCAAGTTTCCCAGGCAGTTCAGAGAATTAAAATCTCTAGAAATTTGAAGGAAAAGATGGATACTTCATTTGGAGCTTAATTGAACGCTATATTACCGATGTGGTCTTATGGATACTTGAAAAAGCGATAAATCTATGCATTGCAAGTGAACCCAGTATTGAAATAGGGAGAGAAATGTGAAAGCTAATAGTAATAACCTCAAGCTTGCCTTCGAAAGAGTCACCTGGAACAAACAGAGATGCTGCAATGGTTCGACAGGGAGGATTCTTCGGCTCCGACCAGGATGTCAGGTGTAATTGGAGTATTCATCTTTTTTTGAGGCAATAGTAAACGTGCGGCAAGG